AAACAATGCTGGATACAGACTATTTGTGACCCTATCAACAGCACAAGGTACATACAGTAGCACTTGAAAGAATTGTGCGCCCTGTGGAGCACAAAAGAATTGCACCCCCTGTGGAGTGCAAAAGAATTGCATCCCTTATGGAGCTCAAAATAATTGTGCCCCCATGGAATGCAAATAATTTCCCCCCTCATGGAGCTCAAGATAATTGCACCCCCTGTAGCGCTGGGAATAATTGCGCCCCCATGGAGTGCAAAAGAATTGCGCCTCCATGGAGCACAAAAGAATTGCGCCTCTTGTGGATAGTGTTCACAAGTTCAGTTCAGTCCGGTTTTTTGCCCCCAAAACGCGCAACCGTGGACCGCAACCGGTCTAGGACCAATCCAGATATTCAGGGAACCGAACCGAACCACCTAGGACCGGTCTTTTGCGGTCTATGGAGCCGGTTCAGACCGATCCAGACCGGTTTTTTTGCGTATAATTTATTATACCAATATAAACCATTTATATCTCAACTATTATTACTCTGAAAAATAAACGGCTTCCATAAAATGGTAAAGCATGTAAATATCCGTCATTCTACCAATTTGTAAGAGATTTAATGAAGATTTGACATAGCTATGACTGAAACCGAATTACATCTCCTAGAGACTCAGGTAAAATATGGATTTGGTTATATCTTTCTCACTTCTTAACCGTTTTGGATGAAACAAAAATCCAATAAAAGGTAATAAACGTGGTTACAAGGGTATGTAACGCACGTGACCGTTTAACCGGTTGCAACCGATCAAAACCGGTCTTTGAACGGTTTTAAAAGATTTTCGAAATGAGGCAACCGGCAACTGGACCAACCCCAAATTGGGGCAACTGCAACCGAAAAAAAGACCGGACCATGGTCCGGTTCAGTTCGGTCCACCGGTTTTTTGCAGTCCTATGGACTGAACCTTTAAACACTACTTGTGGAGCTTGAAATAATTGCACCTCTAGAGCACAAATAATTGCACCCCCATAGAGTGCAAATAATTGCACCTGTTGCAGAGCTCAAAATAATTTCGCCTGTAGAGCACAAAAGAATAATGGCATTGGTGCAAAGTGTGGGTTATTTTCAATAGGAGCCCCCATTATTGGCATGCAACTGTGAATCATTTTCAATAGGAGCCCCCATTATTGGCAGGCACCCACCTGTTCGGCCCAGCCATCACTATGGATGATTTGTTGAGATGTCAG